CACACACACACGCTATAAGCGTCACCCAGGCACGATTACCATCTTGAGTAGTTGCTGTAACCTCCTTCTTCTCCCACATACGTCTACTGAAGACGTGCTTGGTCCTGGTGGTGACTCCGATCATAAAGCCCTTCTCATCCATATTGTATGTGTGCTCAGCGTCAACGTTGTATTGGGCGATTTTTGACTGCAACAGGTCGAAATAGAGCTTGTACTTGGTATACGAATCGGCGTTGTGGCGATTGCTGTCCATACCTGTTGAGTATTGAGAGATGAGATGGATCGAGTGGTTGTTGATGAAGCGGGTAACCCAGCTCTCGCTGACTGGCTCTGTGGCTATTGACGATGTGAAATTTGCTATCATTTCCCTTGTAGGAGGTAGACGGCGAGCTGTAAGCTCCTCTATATACTTGACAAGCTCGTCCTCCTGTTGTGGAGTGAGCTTTTGTTGTGCAATCGCCTTCTCTTCACGCGATCGCGTCTCGTGTCGATATTTTTGAGACAGGGTTGAGCGCACAACCTTATGTTTTTTAGCCAGCGCTGTCCACGGGATCTTATCGCATGGTATCATAGAGTCTATCTCTTCAAAGGCAGATTTCATAGTCATTGTGGCGTTGAGTAATTGTACAGTGAAGTATGGGTACAAAAAGGTGGTTCGGCGCATTACGCGAATCCGCGCATTACGCGCACGGACACGGTACTGTGTCCGCCGGGTCAATGCACGCGTCAGGCCAATGCACGCGATCACCAAAACATCTCAAAATCCTCAACACTATAACTCTACCAAATTATGTCTGTTTTAGAAGCCCTTAAACAAGGCACGCACAGCAAACTCAGATAGATCAATTTGCTAACAGGAAGTTGCTGATCAGACAGGGTTATTGCACTCAACGCTGTTGTGCAATGACCAAGGTGTGACAGCCCCATGTGCAGAGGCAGGCAGACTTACAACAATGCAAGCTCACCCTAAAACAAGAGCATGAGCTCTGTGAGTATATAGAAGTACTTACTGAGCGTCATCTTCCTCCTACAAGGCAAATGGTACAAAACTTCGCTGCAGAGATGGCTCACAAGAGCATCTCTGACACCTGGGTGTCTAACTTCCTCCACCGTCACAGCGACACTCTCCTCTATAAATGGTTGTCACGAGTATATACTGTTCAGCTCCCAGTACCTGCTATCTACAGCAGTACTGTGCCTTTTTGGTCAGTGTAGCACAGTGGAGCCGAGTTGTGTGCCTCACAATGGTGCACTGCCATGGACAAGCAGCGCCACTACGCCAATTCCCCTGCAAAGTATGAGCAATATTTCAAGCTCCTACACTACACGCTCACCAAATATGAGGTAGAACCTCGTGATACATACAACATGGATGAGAAGGGCTTTGCAATCAGTCTTGTTGGCAGGAGCAAGTCCATCTTCTCCAAACAATCATACAAGGCTGGGAAGAACAAGCAGTCTCTACAGGATGGCAATAGAGAGTGGGTAACACTGCTAGCAAGCGTGTGCGCAGATGGTTCAGCACTGCCACCAGGCCTCATATTTGCAGACAAGAACAACACCATACAAAGCAGCTGGGTTGAGGATATTGAGCCAGGAAAACACTCAGTGTTTGTCACTGCAACACCCTCAGGCTGGACGAATGACCAGGTAGGGCTTGCCTGGGTAGAGCAGCTGTTCAATTGCTACACCAAGAAGAAAGCTTGCAGAAACTGGCAATTGCTCATTGCCAATGGCCATGGCTCTCATATAACTATGGCCTTTATCAAGTACTGCGATCGCCACCGCATTCTGCTGCACATATTTCCACCACACAGTACCCGCACGCTGCAGCCGCTCGATGTAGTAGATCGCGTGCATTGACCCGGTGCGTGCATTGACCCGGCTGACACAGTACCTGGAATTTTTCTGTACATCTTCAACATGGCTTGCGCGAGTGCAAGTGCCGGTGTAAAAATAGCGCTGAGCAGAGATTGATCGAAAACAGGTCACCGCGAGTAGAAATGTACGCCTTGAAAATACTCATATATTTACTAACCATTTACCCCCACGAGAAGTGCTCTGAATGCAGATACACACCGCCAGACTCAGAGCCTCCGAGAGTGCCCAGGTTCTCCTTCACGACGGTATTCCGTACATCATTCTGCATCGTGACCGGTCCACAAACGTACAGACCCGGCGAGTTACCTTCCACTGCAGCTGCGTCTCCTTCTTAATGAACTATAAGTGGCAAGTTGAGCCTGTCGTGAGATTTCTATGTTGGTGCAGCGACACGGTCGTCCTTGGGCTTGACTTCAATGTTGTCTGATTAGCTCAGCCACAATTTCTAGAAACCAAGTGCGGCTACTAGTGTAGCGCGTTGCCAGGACGATGCGTACGTTGCAACAGTGTTCTAGGCGCGTGGTCTGTCTCTCCTCATCTCCAGTCTTGAAGTCTTTCTCGAAAGCTCCGTCGGCAGCATCAATAGCAGAACGTTGTCTACAGAACAGCTCAAGAAAAGACAAGATCCAGACAGCGCCTGATCCGCCCGCGACGACAAGTAAGCGATCAGCCTTGTTGAATCTCTGCATGTTGATACCTCTGTACGGACCATCGATGAGCACAGGTACCACAGTACCGGGGTGTTTCTGAGCATAGTCGCACAACTTCGTCAACCCATGCGAATAGCGAATGTAGAACACAAGCTCAGACTTCCCCTTTGCTTGCACCGATGGTAGCAAACAGATGGTGACAGGATGCGATGAAAAAGCCTGCAACCCGAAGCTCATAAAGCGTAGAAAGCAGTGTTCAGGCTTTCAGCGCATGCTGACCAACGGGATGGTGAGGCGTATGAAGCCGTTGTCCTCCATGTGGATGTGGGCTTTTTGAGTAAAGCTGTATTCGAAGGCGGTTAGGAGCCACGGGCAGACGAAGCAAGGAACGTAGATGACTGCAGTTTCGATATTGAGCGGCTTACAAGACAAACGGCATGCATGCCAATGCGATCCACCCCGACCTGGTTCCCAGTGGTGGTGAGTCTCCAAAATCCTCGCTTGACCATCAGGAGGGCTGTGGGATTAAGTCCAGAGCGTGAATGAATAGCTTAGAATGAGCCCAGAGGATGCGTCACTTACAAAAGAAGTATACGGTACCAGCAGTTCCCAAGAGCAAAAGGCCAACCGGCGCTGAGTTCCATCGTATCGCCTCAACATGAAATCCACGGTATGACAAGGATCGGACGATTGCAATCAACTTCCGCCATATTGGAGGGCCTTGGAACTTTCGATGCCCCAGAAGTTATGAGGATATGACGTGACCGATGATGAAGATCCCCAGGGCACTCATGAAGAAGACCACGGTTGGTAAAGCGTAGACGTAGTCGGCGATGTACCTGGTATGGCTCTGTCAACATTGGAAAAAAACAATCCCCTAGTTTGCCTACCAGAAATGCCATCGTTGCATGTAGTATTTCGTTGCTCTTCAGTGAATCGATTGCAAGTGAGTTCGCGACTACCGGTCAGCTGAAGTGGGCAAGTGAACCAGCTCGCCATCGTGATTGCTCTTGCAGTCTGGGTGAGAAGGCGTATTCTCGGCTCCTGCCGGAAAGCGCGAATCACAACTGCTAGAAATTCGATCTTTGCAGAGGTCAAGAAGCTGGGAGACCAAAAGACAAGACTTGTCTAAGACTGCAATCCATGTCAAGCTTCTTCAATGCAAAGCTTGAGCATACTTTGACAGCTGCAACGCAACCACATGTCGGAAACCCAGCGATCAGCTCCACGTACAGGAATGGGCACGGTTTGATTGGCCGCGTCCAGAGTTCTATATGACTGACAGAACTGGTGGAGAGTGTTGCGTCGCACATTAGGCCAACTTGGTATAAACCTAGTCCGGTAGTGGCAAGAGCGAGCGTTTGAGCGAGAATGAGCAAGTTAACGCGTTCACCCGTTGAATGCCTCCCCCTTTGCATGTGGAGGGTCCTCTGTTTGCTATTGCTGGTTCTACTGTCGCTTCATCTCTGGTAACTGCTGCTTCACGTCTACACTCTTGTACGTGCGGAATATTGGTTCGACGTACTTCGCTACCAAGCCCTTCTTTTCCTTCGCTATGCTGTGAGAGCTACCATACTGTTCAACATGGATATGTCGATGACAATGGCAATGTCCACCACAGCGACAGATGCCAAGTCAATGCCCATCTCCTCATCGTCTTCCGACATGATGATGGGAGCAGACTCGACGGCCATGACTTTCTTCGTATCCACTTCAACGCCTCTTTGGTCAACATCCTTCACGCCTCATAATACCGGAGAGTATGCGGGGGTTTGCATATTCCTGATCGCGCTTGCGGTCATGTTTCGGCTGTTGCTTGCGTTTCGAGTCAACTTCTTCACGATACTTGCCGCTGTGAGGCAGAACCGGTACAAAGGCCTTATACACTCGCATACGACTGAAGAGAAGTCGACGGCTCAGCCTTCTAGAGCGGACGAGGCTGTTATGATGGCGGCCTTGGATGTTGTTGTTGCCGGTGTGAGCTATCTGTTGTGAGTATTTCCTCCCCAAATCCGTGAGTGGCGACCACTGATCCTAGTGCAGGATGCTCGCGGTGATGACTTTCAATATGGGGTACTTTCTGTCGATACTCTGCGGTGTTTTCCTGGGAAGCCTGGTATGCGGCCGATATACTGGCAGTGCCGGCGCGCATTGAACTGTACTCTTGCGCCTCCGTGTGTGCCCGGTGTTGCATTTTCGATCCGACAGACGTAGCTCAAAAAGGTGTGTATGCGCATTGTGAGGTTGCTTGCTGTCAGCCTTGATGTGTTTGTACCAATATACGTATATCTTACTGTTAGCTAATGCTTGCGGGAGGGTGCCGACATCCTCAACCTGTCTAGAAGGATTGACTTTTCCTAAGCCAAACTCTCTTCAAACGTTGAATGCCCCATATTCTCCCAGAAGTCTGCTCAGACCATTCCAAGCTCTCTACAATATGCAACGCCGTCTCTCCTTCCAAGCCACAATACATTGTAGAACTTGCACTCCAATGAGGCCCCAAAGAGCATAGTGCCTGGTTCTCGAGACAAACATGCCACGGAGAGAATGTCTTCCGAGGACAATATTGGTGTATACATTGCGCTGATGCCGATAGATTGAGTTCGCTTAGTGTTTGGATGTTCCAAGGAGTTTCTATGCCTCCGATCGTCACCAAATCTACAGGCATCCTGCGCGCGGAGCCCTTACAATCCTCGGAAGCTGCAAGCTGTACTGGCCCCCACAGGTGACCAATCACGCCCATAAGCTCTTGAATGATGTATATCACGTCAGTCGATGGTGCCGGATGGATGATGGACGGCGGCTCGCTCGCTCGCCAAGCCCACGTTCCTGTAGTCTCCAAGTTGATGTTTGGTGAGATTCTAGACATGGCCAGCTTGTCCAAATTGGGTTGTGTTTTACATATTTGAAACCCCAATCGCAAGATGACTTGGCCCACGTTCCAGCTGAGCTTCGAGGCCGTGCCCAATTTTCTTGAATTGTACCTTCTTCTGTGGCGGTGTGGGCCGCTGTAGAATACTGATAGCTACGGTAAACAATAATGTAGGACTATCGGGTCGACGGAATACTGCGCTGAGTTGCTATCTAGTGAGGAGAAGACGACTATATACTCATTCTGGAACGTGCTAGTCCAGAACAGTTTAAGCAAGGGTGATAGGGTCTTGCATGGGCTGACTAATACCGCAACGTCTTCGCAGACTCAAGAGACCGTGTGGTCGCGGAAAACGAGCAGTCGTTTTGAAAGCGTCCGCTCCTGGAAAGTCCAGCCACGAGTGTGGTAATCCACTTCTTGCCGACTACCATATCGTCTGGGACGACTTGCCTCAACCAAGCGGCAAGTGGAACTGAGAATGTGCATCCTGTATGGTGACTGGCGTGGGCTTTGTACTCTCGTGCCTACGAGACCTGTTTGATCGTCTCCATCGAGAGCAGCAATCGTGAAGTAAGCACTCACGTAGACTGAAGCCATGGCCGCTAGTTGGTGCCTCTTGTTGATGATATGGTCTTGTATGATACACAAGCGATCAACCCATAGGTACTTCGGACCTATTGCTCGAACTAGAGCAATACTGTCCCATATCGTCTTCGGCAGCATGGATGATTTGGCTGCTTCGTCAAAGGCTCCCGGTATTTGGAGTTGTTCAAAGTTGCTCGTGATCGTTTGAAAAGAATTGCTTCTCGCGCCCTGGACATAACTTAAGGCTATGTAGCGGTGATCATCATGAACGTGATGCTGTTGGGTCAGACAAAGTTGCTCAACACTGAGCTACGTGCAACAGTCGTCCAAGGGTCAGTCATAGAATAACAAACACCGGAATCATACTGGTCACACTCCTCCACCCACGACTGTAGCACTTGTGGGTCAATCTGATCTTCCACCGCCAGACCAACCACTTTGCTTGGCTTAGACCTCTTAGCTGCGCGCAAAAGCCTAAGGCCGCCATCCAGAGTGCGCTGTGGGTATGCATTGGTGGCAATCGACAGGAACCAGTACGCCGTCGTTAGTTTTTGGGAGCGCCGTTTTCTGTCTCGAGGATTAGAGTTGCCGTAAACTCCTGCGGGCGCGAACGGTCGAAACCGATGATATTTTCGTCGAGAGCTTTGAGCAAGCCCCGACAAGTCGAACAGTTTGTGTTCCTCGCTAGTTCTTCACAACTCCATTTCTAAGTATGTATAAGCTCACGATCTTCAAAGTATTCAGGTTCGGGAAAAGCGCCCTGAATCGTGAAATGGCATGTCTTGCAGGACGGAAGCTCAACTGTCTCATCGGCCTCAGCACTTCTGAAATTAGCAGATAGCTTCAAGCTGTGTTTCAGATAGTAAACCTTTTGTGGCACAGAGTATCGCGAGCCTTGCGAAAGAGGCTTGAGTGAGGCATTCTATTTCGTGATCAGAGTGGGAATCCTGCTAGATCGCTCCTCGTATGCTGGTTCGAGTTAGATCGGTAAGGCCCTGACGGAGGGTAAGTACAAGCTTGCTTGCTAAGAGCGTACGAGCGGAACGTATGCACGGGTATCAGGCTGGGCCGCTGACATGCTGACAGGCACGTGCAATAAGCTTGGCATGGCGGATGCGTGCCTGCTGACTCCATGTTGATGTGCTCTGAATGAACCATCCACGGAGCAGCACTAAATGGGTAGTGAGGGACAAATACATGCAAAGATGCTCAGGGACCAATGAAGATCTATACTTCTGGTTAGCAAAGCGGTCCCAATCATGATTCGCAATCACATGATGATTTGGTGAAGGGAAGTGTATCGCCAATGGCAATGCTCATGTGTTCGTTACTGACGTGCAAAGATATCTGCATCATGATTTTTCTTATGCCTCCTCTGTGAACTCCTTGTACTCGGCCTTGCTCATCAGCTTGCCTGTTGGCTCCTTTGATACAGTGATCTTGGCAATCCAAGCATCGCCCTCAGGGTCCTTGTTGATGTTGCCCGGCTTGTCCTCGAGGGCCGAGTTGAGCTCGGCGACTGTCCCGCTGACGGGTGTGAGGATATCTGAGGCAGACTTTACGGACTCAACGGCGCCGATAGCGTCACCCTCGCCGACCTCGAGGTCAACCTGGGGAAGCTCGATGTAGACGACATCACCGAGGGCTTTCGCGGCGTATTCTGAGATACCAAGGGTGTCTGAGGTGAGGGTCAGCGTTCCTGATCCTTGAGGTCATGCAATTGCATGGCCAATGCTTAGAGCAAGAGCTAGCAGGACAATGGACGTACATGTCTTGCCATCGGCGGACACCTCAATCCATTCGTGGTCCTCGGTATACTTCTTCTCCTTCACTGCTCCCTATCAGCTATATATTCTCTCCCCTCAATTGCTGTTCTGAAGCTTAAAGCGCATACATTGTGCAGACACCGTGAATAGCCGGGGCGTCTGAGCAATCTGCCTCCATTGCTGGCAAGCGAAAGCGCTCGGCCTCTTCGCAGCAACAGAAGTCAATTGACGCGCAGCGCGGGCAACAGAGTATCGAGAGGCCATTGTGTGAATAATTCTGTGTGTAGTGGAAAAATCAATTGCAGGTTCATGAAGCTCGGGGGAGCCGCCGTGCGATATGACAGTGCCAAGGCGCGCTAGATGGCGGAGTTGGCGATTGAGAAGGCGCGCGAATGTTTTCCGAAAGCGACCACTTTTCGCGAGGGAAAGAGCGCGACTGCGACGGCAACACCAATAAAACCGTCAAAATGTTGTACGAGATGATTGGAGTGGTGTGTATACCTTTGCGACGAGATTGCTAGAGATGAAGGAGAATTGACAGCTGCAGGTACGGCCCGGCCGCCTCTCCGAAGTAAAAGAGTATGCACCACACCTCCCATTGGAACGGATGTATCCAGGGCTCCATACTGATATATGGAATGCAGAATCGCCAAAACCGCTGGCAGAATCGTTCTCGAGCAAAATGGCGTCGTGCGCGGAGTTTCGAACTGGGGTACTTTCCTCCTCCCCAAGGCCGCGAAAAAACTGCAATCGACCCACCACTACGGCCACCACTTCATCATGCGCTTCGACTCGAGCGCTCGCACACAGCATTCTCTGCGAAAGACCATGTCTCTCGACCCCCGCCTGATCAGGTACTCGATTGTCAAGATGGGCACGAAGTTCGAGGAGATCAAGGACATCACAGGAAAGGCTGAATTCAGGTAGACGAGGAAAAGAGCTTTGGGGAGAAGAGGTGGATGAGGAGTGTACAATACCCTGTTTACAACATTATGCGGTGTGTATATGGAACAGGCAGCATAACATGGCGTTTGGGACATCTTGGACATAGATCCATTGTAGGAATCGATCAAGAGAAGGTTTGATTCATCGTGAATAAATTCAAGACAGAATTACCATAGTATGATGACGGGTTATCCATAAGTGACGAGCACTCCACGCATTGGAAGGAGCCGGTGTTGCCCTGAGCGCATCGAGGATGCCAGTGTGTCTAAAGATTTACAGCTGGAGAGAATGTCTAGGGGATGAGCTGAACACCTCCAAGCTCACCTATGTCCAACTTCAAGACTTCATGGTTGATATCAATGTTGCTGTTGATCAGGACTCGCGGCTTCCTCACATGCTCGCCGCCAAGCCCCATGGTGCAGTCCAGACTACACAACATTAGCTTACTCGATGCAGAAAGCACTTGAGAGGCCTCGATAGCAACTCTACAAGATACCCGATTGAACTGAAAGAGAACGCATCTTGCCATGTTCCTAAGGCAAAACATTTGTTGCCCCACCTTTTCCCCGCCAAGTGTTCCAGGGGTCGTGAAACAGCACGCGAAACCCACCATCATCCGCCCAACACCAACTTTGCCCTCAGCCATTGTACGATCGCCCAGCTGTGCCCAGCTGTCTACTGGATTGTGGCTTGAATACGCTGAGCAGAGTTTCAAACAAGCATTCGGCCCCTCCAGTCAAGCCTTCTGGACCTGTGCGCCGGCCTACAGAGGGCACTAGACAAGCAATTGAGACGTCTTACCTCGAACATGCAGCATGCTTGTGAAACCAGAGCTCCCGTTGTCCCGTAATGGAGTCGGGATCGATGTCTCTGCTATAACAATGTAGGTCCCCGCGTGCGAGCTGGAAATGGAACCAGACTTTCTACTCAAAATGCCGTTCATAAACTCAAAAGGCGCGTCAACACTCGGCCACACATTCAGGTGAGTGAACTTCGTTGACTTAAAGCGCATGGCTGAGCAGCTAACAAGGGCCAGGAACTTCGATCAAACGATCATCACTGTAAAGGTTGGAGCGAAGGACTACCAGGAACCTTTCAGTTGCCATAAAGAGCTACTGCGCCGATGCTCAGCGCACTTCGATCAATGCTTGAGCGAGGAGAAAGGGTCGCCTTACAAGAGGTCTGGATTGTCGCTGGAACTCGAGGATGTGAGCCCTGATGTTTTCGATGCGTTCATGATGTGGCTCTACACCGGCTTTATCCCACACCATCTCATCGAAGGTGGGAAAGAAGTTCACCCTCCAACACACGCCATCAATATGAATGGCGCAAATAGCACAACAACAGATCAGCAGGAGAGTGACGACATTGACACAGCATCATGGGCCATCAGTCTCGACCACGACGACACTGCTAGCCAACCCTCCAACGGCAAAGCACCCAGTGTTTCCGAAGAAATAAGCGCAGACAAAATACCTGGCGACTCCAGCGACGTCGAAAAATACACCCCCTCACCACCAGTCCGCAACCCTGCCGAGAAGCCTGAAATCCCTAAAGAAACCCTTTGCCCTTGCTGCTCGCGCCCCTACAAGTGGCGCGGCCTCGAAGGCTTCCTAGAACGGCGCTTCATCTCCCTCTACATCTTCGCACACCGGTACTGTATCCCCTCCCTTCGCCGCGCCGTGCTGTTAGCCTGGCAAACAAACGACGAGATCCTGCAATCTATGCCAGACCACAGCAACGTCATCGCCGCCTACACCGATCTCCCACCTGACTCACCACTCTGCCGGTACTTCTTGGATATGTACAGTGTGTACTGGAACCCGGATAAGGACAACGAATTCGCTATCCCCTTGCGGAGTCAGTTGCCACAAGCTTTTTTGTTTGAGTTGGTGACGATGTTAGCCAGGGGCGAGAGGCCGAAGACGGAGAAGGAGTGGTGCGAGTTTCATGAGCACGAGAGCGAGGAGGAAAGGAAGGCTTGTTGTGAGGGGCTGGGGAGGGATCCGATTGCGGGGAAGGCGTTGAGGAGGATTAGGGATAGTAAGGGGTGGAAGGGGTTGGTGTTGAAGAAGGGGAAGCGATGAGTACATGTCATTTTGTAAGTGCGTCTGCGTTTAGCGAGTCAATACATGTTACGAGAGTCACTTTTGACATTACCCTTCGACCCCTAACATTTTATGCTCACAAGGCCGATGCTTAATCCTCATTGTCTCTATGTATCGACTACGGCTCGGCGCGCCTAAATCACGGACTACTGCTCATCTTATTTCGACATCCGTGCTACTACACCCCAATGCGGTGTAATGCACCCTTGCCCACCGTCCTCGAGGCTGCGCAATGCTGACCGAGGCTGCTACATCAAGTAGCAGTTTTGCTTTCAGCTCGGTGGATTGTTTTCTCCAAACTAATACCGTGTCTGTGCACGCAATGCGCATGTTCGCGCAACGCGCACCTCGGCCCGCATCAACACCTATTCTCAACCCCCCTATTTCTCAACACCACGATGCCTGTACAGGATGACGTTACAGAGATAGAGCGATTGGACTCTGACGAAGGTTTTTCATACCAAAAGATTGCTAAAAAAAACATAAAGCGTGGCGCTCAACGTTGACGTGCAGGCTCAACGGTGAATGCGTCCCGCGTGAGGACCAGGCACTCAAACAAGGCCTCATGCACCCACGCGATGAAGCAGAACTTGTTGCTTACATTGAGAGCCTCACAGAGCAACACCTTATGCCTACAAGGCAAATGATTAAGAATTTTGCAATCCCTATACTCAAAAAAGAGCCCAACGATTCCTGGGTTATACGCTTCCTCAACCAAAACAAAGACCAACTCATCTCATTGTGGACAACGCCTATGGAGACTAGCCGCCACAAGGCTAATTCTGGTTATAAGTACAGCAAATACTTTGAGCTTCTGCATTCCAAAATGCAACAGTATGAGCTGGAACCTGCGCACACATACAATATGGACAAGAAAGGCTTTCTTATTGGATGCACAGGCAGGAGCAAGAGAATCTTTGCAAGAGCATTGTATGGCCAGAAGCAGTTCAGGCAGTCACTCCATGATGGCAATCGCGAGTGGGTAACAATCTTAGCATGCATCTGCAGCGATGGATCTGCTCTTCCTCCAGGCATCATATACCCAGCAGCTGGAAGAGCCGTACAATCAAGCTGGATTACAGCAATTGATGCATCACAACACTCGGTGCACTTCACTACATCACCCAATGGATGGACAAATAACGACCTTGGCCTGACGTGGCTTGATCAGGTATTTGAGCGCTACACAAAGCCAGTTTAAGCCAACGCCTGCGCCAACTCCGTCCTCTACACAGCCACTCGACCGGACTATCCTGGCTCTGTATGGGGCGCTGCACCAGATTCTGATAGCCTGAAGGGCTGCTGTATGTCGGAAGGGTAGAACGGCGCTTGTGCCCGTCACCGGAGATAGAGCCACATATAGAGTGGGTATCTATGCAGCGGCGGGATTTAGCGAGTGAAGTATATTTTCGAACCTGATCAGTTGGACGTTATATTATGCTTACATCTAGTGTGAATCATCTTTTTATAAATTCTTCGCGAGCAACGCAGCTTTCTTCTTTCTCATATCATCGAACACACGCATCCTGACAGCTTGCTCAGTCCGGTTGGACTCCCACTATTCTTCTTGCGAGCTCACCGTGGTCCCCACGTACACCTCCCTCGGACGCAGTTTAGCTGATGGCCACAAAGCAAGCGGTCGCACAGAAAGCGTCGCCAAGGTGGGTATACCTTCTCGAACAGCAATCTGGATAGAACCTTCATGTGCTCCTTGTACCCAGGTGATGTGGCATCGATGAGATTTTGCGGAATTTGCTCGTACGCTGTATCCACCAAACGGACGATCTCACCATTACAGCCGAAGCCCAGTCCGTACGGGGTTCACAAGCTGCTCGACAAGCTCAGCAGCAACGTCAGAAGTACCGTCAGACTGAGTGTAACGCCAGAGACCGTTGCGACGAAGGATGGCACGGATGTCAATAAGCCAATTGGCATAGCCAGGATTGTTCTTAAGAGACGCGATCTTGTACTCGGTGGCCATATTGGCTGTGTGCGGGTGCTCACTAAGGCGGGGTAGCTGAAAATTTGCGGTGGATGAGCTGCGCGGTTGCAGTGAAAGTAGCTGCAAGGGCAGAAGGATTGTAGCTGCGCGTGCGCAGAAGAAGAGTAAAGCAAAAGAGAGTAAAATAGCTGAGATCAGCGTAGCTGGTTAAGGGTGAGGGCTCATAGCCTGTCAAGACTGGGTGGTTATGATGCTGTATTGCAGGTGAGCAGAAGCTCGATATAAGCTACCTATCACGTGCCGGCAATTGGGGAATCCTTCACCCGCCTCCCGCGGACAATATTCGCAACCTATGAGATCCAAACACACCATAGACCTTCCCATATATCTTCTCAATTGGTTTCGTGCTCAGTCTTTGACCATGCATCTCAGATGCATAGTATCTATAGACATGATACTCGGCCGTCGGATAATACCCTGCAGAGGTGTCAGAGTACTGCGCAGTCCCTGCGCCCGGCTTAGAGACAAGACCTGCGAGCAGATCATGTAACGTATTAGCCATGGCCTAATTACCTCTCAAACCGATGGCATTCTCTCTTTTCAGTTGCGATATGAACTACACTGCTCCGGATGGAACCTATTCCGACCAAGTAGCGTACTCATTGATGTTGACCACGCCGCTCTCAGGGATGCCTTGTTGCTTTAGAATCCCACTGAACGTGACGATTGAGGTAGTCGAGGCCCTGTGCCCTTGCTCCATGTGCCAGGGCCACTCGTCAGGAATGCTACTGTCCTGCTTGACGAGCGTCAGGAAGTCGGCCCACCGCTCATCACCGGAATCAGGAACGTGACTAAAACATGGGTCACTAATACGGACAGTTGGAAGTTCCCTCCTGATGAAGTCAGCTCACATTGCCGTCTTCGCACATGCGATCAAGCCCATACCTCAACAAGAAATACGTCCTGCTCCAGAGTTACAACCATTGCGATCGCGGGCGATTCCAGAAGAACTTGAGATCCGGATCGTTCCAGAAGTCAAACACGAGGCCCTCCAACATGTTGTGCCTTGCTGCATTTGTGACCCATAGAGCCATCATTTCATCCCACGAGGTCCAATCATCGTTGTCTCCTGGATGCGGCGCGTCCGGCGGCTGCCCACCATTCGCTCCTCACAATGCATATGGGAGCAGGACAAAAGTGCCACCATATTTGCGAGTGGTTCGATAGTTGCTGAGCGCCGATTGAATCTAGCTTCATAGTCGGCTTTGCTGCGGTACCAGCCCCGTGTATAAGGTAATTGTGAGCCTCCACCACATCCGCAACGGAAACTGACATCAGTGCAGAAGTTATCCGGAATCTGACCAAGTGTGTCTGGAATGCCGTATATCTATCCTGACGCCAGATACTGTGGTGGACTGGTTTGTTGGTCTAAGTACACCGTTGCAGTGCCTGCAACTGCCGAGTTCTACTTCTTTTGCTCGGTCGGCAGTTCCTGTAGACCATGCAAATATTCCGCTTAGTACATCGTCAGCCTATGCTCCCGTATTGTCGGCACGTAAATTGCTTGAGCAGAACTTACTCAACATGTTGATTTTGTACTGTGATACTGCCCAACTGAACATTCAAATCGAATGCTTAGTATTGTTGACGTAGGGTAGATTGTTCCGTAGATTGTGTCTGACAAGGCTGATTCATAACCACGGGGCTAGATGATGCGTTGTCGTGTCGTCTACTTCCTCGATTTGTGGCTCCATAAACCCCTGCCCTTTCGCTAAAAGCTCACCGGGGTCATCCAGTTGCATGTCGTGCATGCGGGGAAACAACCCCACCGGAGTCGTACCTCATGGCGCCCAGCCTTAAGGACCCCACCATTACGAAACCTTGCTGGCAGCCTTCGGCTTCTCCACCGGAATCCCTCCACGTCGAACAACGCCTTAACCATTGGCTTTTGTGTCTCGAAGGACTACCCCATTGACCCGCTAGATCTTCTCACCCGCAACTTCAACCACCGAAGAATAAGGAAACAAGATGGCTCGGTCGATCTTATGGGAAACCAAAGCTTTGACTGTGGCCTTCATCATTGCTAAAGATGGAACTGTCAACATCGACGCAGTCGAACCATCGAAATCTGTTGCGACAACTCGAAAGGAAGATATCGCACATTTACCAATTCATCAGCTTCGGTTGGTGGGCGAAGGTAACCACAACGGGTCCAAAACAGCCAAGGCCTTCGTATCGACGTATATGAGCAGGAGGTTGAAGTACATATCGCACCACAAGTGGCAAGAAGCAGAGACAAATTATCTCGAGATTGTAACCAAAGACGACGAATCGAAAATGGTCGTTACGTCTCTCTTTACCATCTTCGACCATGTTCCAGTCTTGCAAGCCAGCGTAACAATCCGCAATGAGTCTGAAAACGCTGTCTCAATCACGTCTCTGCCATCACTGGTCATAGGTGGTCTGACCAGAAGCTCAGAGCAGTGGTGGCACGATTACAAACTCTTGACACCCAACAACAGTTGGTTCCGCGAAGCTCAATGGAGAGAGCACACGTTGCCTGACGTTGGTGTGGATCACTGTCTTCCACAACCTTGTCCGGCGTCTTTTGCTACTTTTGGATGCTCGAATCTCGGCAGCTTTTCGACTGGAACATACCTACCCATGGGAGCGTTGAGCAGTAAGACAAACTCGGAGACATGGCTGTGGCAGGTCGAGAACAACGGCTCCTGGAAATGGGAGATTGGAGATTGGGGTGAGCAGATTTACGTCGCCATCGGTGGTCCAAATAACAATGATCACCACTGGATGCAGGAACTTCAACCGGGCGAATTTTTCACCTCGGTACCTGCAGCCATATGCCATGTGTCTGATGGTCTGGATGCAGCTTTCCAGGCTATGACAGCCTATAGAAGACGGATCAGAAGGCCTCATTTGGACAATGTCGAGCTACCCTTGATCTTCAACGACTATATGAACTGTCTCATGGGCGATCCAGACGAGACCAAGATCAAAGCACTGATCGACCCTGCTGTGAGAGCTGGTGCAGAATACTTTGTCATCGATGCTGGCTGGTACTCGAACGACAGTAACTGGTGGGATGACATCGGCGCATGGGAGCCTTCGCCCAAGCGCTTTCCGTCCGGTTTCGATGCTCTGCTACGTGAGCTCAAGTCCGCTGGCTTGACGCCTGGACTTTGGGTGGAACCAGAATCCATAGGGGTGAAATCCGAGGTTGCGAACCGTTTGCCTTCAGAAGCCTTCTTTCAACAGAAGGGGGAACGGGTGGTGGAGAGAGACCGGTTTCAGCTGGACTTCCGCCACGAAGCGGTCAGAAAGCATCTCGACCAGGTAGTAGATCGACTTGTGAATAGTTGTGGCGTCGGCTACTTCAAGTTCGACTACAACATCGAGATCATCCAAGGTACAGAGGTGAATACAGGCAGTGCTGGTGCAGGACAGCTTGACCACAATCGAGCATACCTCGCATGGGTGACAAATCTTCTCGACAAGTATCCAGGGTTAGTCATTGAGAACTGCTCCAGTGGTGCTCAGCGAATGGATTATGCTATGCTGGCCGTACATCCGCTCCAGTCAACCAGCGACCAGGAAGATCCGGTGATGTATGGTGCTATTTCAGCAGCAGTCTTCACAGCGGTCACTCCAGAGCAGAGCGCCACCTGGGCCTATCCGCAGAAAGAGTGGACCGACGAGATCAATGCTTTCACAGTTGTGAACAGTCTGCTCGGGAGGATACATTTAAGCGGGCGACTGGACAAGCTCTCTAAGAGCCAGTTTGCACTCATCGCGGATGGTATGAAGGTGTACAAGAGCATGCGCCAAGAGTTAAAGACTGGCCTGCCTTTCTGGTCATTGGGGCTACCAAGATGGCACGATAACTGGCTATCGACAGGGTTGATATGTGGAAAGAAGACCTTCCTGTCAGTGTGGAGAAGAGGTGGCGAGACGACGTGCAAACTGCCTATCCGTCATCTTTCGGGACAAGAAAACGTCAAAGCCACGCTGCTATACCCAAGAACGTTCAGCGCAGAGACGCATTGGGATGGATCTGCGGGCGCATTGATGGTGACATTGCCAGAGGTGGTATGTGCACGCCTTTTCGAGCTCGAGTCGACATGAGCGCTTATTGGCAGGTCGCGTATTGAATAAATCATTCACTTCTATCTGACAGATGATGGTTTGGCGGATGATGTCGTGATCGCAGTCGTGATGCGGAAAGGCGAGACCGACAACTGCAGGTGAGGTCGCTGCCGGGCGCGGAAAAACCAAGTTCGCGCTTGCCCCAAGCGCCCGTTGCCACAGCCTCCTCGTGCCGCACGCTAATGAACCTTCGTCGAACCCCATCAATATATAGGTCAAAAGCACACACGCGCTAGCATTGTTATGACCAACTCACTGCAGGAGATTAAAACTGCGTTACGTCAACATGTCTTTCCATACCTCCTATCTTCTGGCTTTGAAAAGCAAATGCCCCGTCGTCCAGCTTTACAGATCAGTGAGTTACGTCGAGCTTATTGGCCCAGAAGCTCTTCTGCATGTCAGTGCTAAAGCCAAGCCTTCAAACGACAATTACCAGCCAAGAAGAATTTTGCAACAGCTAGGACGTCATGAAAAGATGAGAATTTCTTCGGATGTGATCATATATTGCTGAAAAACGTGCGGATCGCTTTGTACAGCCTCCGAGACATATGGAGTATCTTTGTAGGGTGCCTTTGTAGGATGTGAAAGCCTTTCTCCAAGCCTGATACTATGTCAGGCAGGCACTCGAAGTACTCACTTCTCCACATCGTCGGATTGGGTTTGAGGCGACGCTCGACAACCTCCTCGAAGGTGTCCACCTTAGTTTGGGTGAACTGCCGGGTCTTGACCTTGTTCACGAACAGGTGTTCAATCTCAGCAAAAGAGCGATCTTTTGTCTCTGGCAATCCGAAGTAGGACCACAGGAAGGTGAGAAAAGCGAGTCCAGCCTGGGCGATAGTCAGTATTCATGGTCAAGAACAAGACTTGTGACTTACGCAAAGTACCCAATCTTACCTTTCCAATTGCCTTCGGTTGGATTGAGCATGAATGGAATCGACGTCATGTTGAAGATCTGGCTGAGGTGATACCCAATACGTGCCGAACAAATGGACTTCGAGCGAACGCTGACAGCAGGGATCTCATTGATGATGGCATAGCAGACAGGGCCAATAGTCGAGTAGAAGATGACCTCCCATGCCAACACCATGCCAGCCTGCGCGAAGCTGGCGCCAGAAGATTCTGAAACAGTGGCAATGATACCAATGATCAAAAGCAGGATGCTGAGCGCCAAGCACGTCCACACGTACAAGGGACGACGACCGAACCGCAATATCAAATACCAGGAGACGATAACGCCCACAGACGCAGGACCGAGCGCTCCAGTCGCGAATTTCAATGGTTCGTCTGCGCTCACGCCCACTACTCTATGTGTCAAGAATCTGGGGAAACTCCACAATCTGGTGACTAGAGAACGTTGACCCGTCGTAAGGTTCCTACATGCCAACTCCGGTGGGCTGTCCGGCGGGCTGGCGGTGGACTTTGTGGCTTGGTGATGCGACCGGCACGCCCCATGGAGAAATTCACGCCCGCGCCGTGCCGCGCCCCCATCGGAGTGCCAAGACGACTGACATCGGCTTAACAACCCCGCAAAAACATGTTCTCCAGAACACGAGGATCTCATATGTTGCAAGTACATCGTGACCTCACAAAAGCACGGCGTTTCCTCCGAATGATGGATCATTTCCCCACATCATTACCCCGAGACCTGGCTCCCTTCCCCATTTCGTGCCTTTACCAAGAGGTTATACGACCAGTGCCTCTTTTACACATCGATCTTTACTCTCTTTACTTTAAGGTGTCGGCTCTATGGTATCACAGTTGTGACCAAGACCGAACCATGCAATGTAGAGACGGAGCTCGTAGACATCAACATGGAGCATGAGCGCAGGAACTTCTAAAGAGCGGAGACTATATAAACGGCCAGAAGAGTCTCGGACTGCCATTCACATGTGCCTGCGTTTACTGTAGCACCTGGTACGAACGACTACATTTGGAACCACATTATCTCCTGTTCAGGATGCGTTGGAGCCTCCTCGCCTCCTGCCTGAGCAATGCCTGTGCAAGCGCTTTGCCCTCAAATATCAATGAGAATGTTCTGACAGTTCATTACCATAACCTGCCTGCCTGATTTTCCCTAATTCTGCCATGTGCACTGCCAACATGGGGGGTCCATCCCGTTTGCTCAAAGAAATCGTCCCAGCTGAGATAGGGGGTCGGTTTGGTTTAGCCAAAACAGATCAGCTACTAGCGCCTGCTTTCCCTACGCCCCCTCTAAGCAGCCTGATCTCTTTCTAGAGGAAGCCCAGCTATAACAGAAGGGCGCTCACTTTCTTTCCCTCTGCGCGCAACAAAAGAGACCTACTTACCTTCTTTTTCTTCTCCCCTCAACCCTTACTCCTATCACCTAAGTTAAAGCAAACATGGTTAGCTACTGCTGAAGTAGTATTTTCGTCAAAGTCCGTAAGCATTATTCAATATTTTCAAGGATGAATACGGTTCTTGAAAACAGGGGGTTGATAGGCGTCTAGTCAAAGACTGTGACAACAGGGTAGCAATGAGTAATACTCTCATACCGGTACAATATGCTATGTCCACAACACTCATATCGATACCAAGGGTGGATTATATGCGCGTACTCTGGAGCAACTTATGGTCGGTGTCTATTTTGGCGAGCTTTGCCTTTTAGGCCTTTTTGATCTGAATGTTGGCAACAGTGTCGTGTCTGCCGGACCGACGGTCATGCAAGTTATCCTATTTTTGCAACAATTGTCTTCCATGTCGCAAGTTGAAGCATGCGAATCTTTCTTCTCACTCTGCAAACTTCAATCAGTAAGATGTAGAAGCTGGAGAAGTGACAGACCGAAATGTTGCGGACCAGGATTGAAGTGAAGCAAGGGCTGGCAATGGGACATCCGATGAAGCTCTTGTTTCTGGTATCAGCGACCGGGCAGCCTGACATAACGCGCATGCAGGGTTCAGTATGCTTACATCTCCTTCCAATACCCCCTCCAAAGCGGTCACTATTGCAACGAATCTTCTCGTCTCACACAATGCCTGTCGATCAGATCTCCGACTCGCTGACCCCAGGCTTCAACCATCCGGTGCCACCATATACAAAGCAGGAGGTCCTGGTAGCATATCTGCACCCAGCTCTGGCTCAAAGGCACGAAGTCATCTGGCTTGCGAGAAGGTGTTAGGCAAGCGCCTTTGTGGGGAAGAGCGGTCGTGTACTGAGCCGAGGTACATAGTTGATGTGAACAGATCCCGATATAAATTGGGATTCTTTTGAATATCGACTTGTGGGGGTCGCAAAGATACAAGAAGACCTTGGTGCCCCACCCATAGATTAGCGCCACGCTAGTATTGCTCAAGTTAGTGCCGAACGTCCCTTCCACAAAACGCGTCACGACGTCAGCTTCCGCATCTTCACCAAATCCATGACTTATCAGTGTTCCACCTGCGATAAGTCATATACTACAGCAAGTCATCTCGCTCGGCACGCTGTCGCACGTACGCCGATGACTCTCACGCGTCTCGCGATGACCTGATAGCTGATCGTTCCCTTCAGATCAACCCGATCGTCAATTCAGGTGCTCATTCTGTTCAAAGAGCTATTTGCGACAGTCTGTTGACCTTCAAGATATTCGTTATCATGCTGAAATGGTTATAGGGACATTGCGCGACGCCATTCGGAAAGATGTCCAAGGCGTCAAGGCCGACCTGTAACCAAACAGCAGAGCCGTGGCCAGCCTCGAAAAGCTTGCAATAGATGTGCGAGTGCCAAGGTGTCATGCAACAAAGCTGATCCATGTGGTACGTGCGTCAAAGCTGGAGTCCAGTGTTCGTACAGTCGCCTGGAATTAGGCCCTGCGACACCCATAGAGGATACTGCCAACAGCTCGAACACTACACGGAAGACCCAAATGAACGGCCACACAATTGCCTCCACGAGTACTGCTAGTCGCGTTCCATTCCTACTCAGCTACACGGCTGCCGACGCTGGCAACCCAAAAGACTTCGTCCAGGCTCTGGAAACACTGAGAGGCCATTCCGACAGGGCACTCTTGCAAGATGAAGTTAATGCTTGGGATGACTCTCTCCATCCTTTTCCGATGTTTACGCCGTTCTTTGCGGCAGACATGCTCCAACTGGATGTCCCACAAGGTTCTTTGAGTCTATTAGACCTCCTGCCACAAAGCGCACTAACTTCCGATGCTCACGATGATGCCCTCCGGCGTCGCACCTCCGATCTGATCGCCTATCTCGAAGAAGATGGAAGAGCTTCGTCGTCTCACGACATGATCGCAATCCTACTAACACCCACCAACCTGGAGCTGTGTGTGGAGAGCTTCTTCCAGTATGCATACAGACATGTGCCGATAGTCCACAAGTCGTCTTTCGAGATCGTGAGCGCGGAGCTACCACTTCTGCTCTCGATCTTTGTCGTTGGTGCTGTCTGGTCTTATCCTCGAGATACGTACTTCATGGTACTTGACATCGTTGAGCTGACTGAAAGATGTATTTTCGAAAGCGATCTTTTCAAGACCCTTCAAGGTCCTGACAGCAAATATGTTACTGCATCTTCCCCGGGGGTTTTGTCCCTTCTGCAGGCAGCCACAATGTTGGTCTCGATCAGTTTTGCTTTCCCGAACGCTGACCAACGACGCCGTTTTCGCTCACAAAGATTTTTTGATCTGATGTCAATTACGCGCTTGCTCAAATATGACAGCAAGGGAGGATCTTACTCTCAGATCACTGATGCCGCAACCCATTTTGAGTGGACGAATTACGTCACTTGTGAATCCTGCAATCGGTGAGTCAATCACGGGATGGCCGACCTTGACCGCTAAGCCATTTTCCAGAGTTATATACTACGTGTATCTGCTCGACTGCCACATTTCCACACTTTACGCTACATTGCCACGCATGCCTATCCTGGAGATGCAAGCTTGTTTGCCCTCGGATGAGTCTGCGTTCGGCGCAGACAACGCTGAGACGTGTAGAGACAGACTGTCAAGCGTCCAATTGGCTCCGCGACTGAGTCTGGTCGATGTTGTCCAGAGACTCATGGCAAACAACTCAATGCGCCAAGAATTCTCGAGGTTGACCGCTTTTCCCTTGTTTCTAACGATAGGAGGTAGGGTATTCTGGCCTGCAGCAAGGCCGTCTCAGCTAACATGTATTGATAGCCCTACAAGCCATGATCTTCACAGCGAAGACACAATTGCTTGAGACATCTCAGTCTGTTCTCTTCGAGCGTGCACTTGCCCGCTGGAAGGAGATGTGGGATCACTCCCAGACTACTCGAGCCTCATCGAAGGAGGTTGGATTCATGGTCCACGCGGAAGAGATTTGGCTACTCGCACAGAAGGTTTTGAAGTCAGATGCGTCAAAGCTGATTTCACGATTCGGAGTCAACGACATGACGCAGGTTAGGCGATGGTTGGCAGAGCTTGGTTGACACATATACAGAAAGGTTAGCTGCGCAAGAAATATCTCAAATTCCTGTGTAGTATTGCATGTTTTTGAGTGAAAGCTCATCGCCGCGGAATACAAGGGTTGCGGGTCGGAGAAAACCCACCTCAAAGAGCCGAACGGAGTAAACCCACCATACATTAGTCCCACCCGGAGAAAACCCACGCATGGATACTTCGTACTTTATTGGCTGCCGGGCGTTGCTTGTACAGACTTGGCTAGCAAATCTAAAAGAGGTCCAGTATATTGTCCTCTCTCGCATTTGTCGTCTCTTCTGACATCTCTGAATTCGCTTCTCCTGCTCGACATGCTTCGCTCGGGTGTCTGTCAAGGTCGGTCTGATATTGGTACCAGCTTCCGGGTTTACTGACATCTTTAAGCGTCCATATCGCGACCGTCACACGTACGATGTAGACCATCCCTCCGCGTCTCTCGAAGCCTCTCTGCGCCGTGTACTCAATCACCATGGCTCATGCAGGCAGCAACAGTCTCTCGTCATATCTCAACCGAGCGAACGTCAACAACGTCTCTATCGAAAGAAAGACGACCCTCAGGTGTCGTAGAATATGCTTTGTAAAGATCCAAATACTCTCCTAATGCCTTCTACGTAAGAAGCTCGCTGACCAGTGCCCTCATATTGCAGAACATCACTCGACTCTATCCTCAATTGGGCACGGCAATCCTCCCTTTGGCCTTTGAGCTTCGGACTCGCCTGCTGCAGCATAGAAATGATGCACGTCTCAATGCCTCGATATGATCAAGACCGCCTTGGCATCATCTTTCGCGCATCCCCTCGACAAGCAGATGTTATGATCGTAGCAGGCACGCTCACCAACAAAATGGCTCCAGCTCTGCGGATGTGCTATGACCAGATGCCGGATCCAAAGTGGGTTATCAGCATGGGTAGCTGTGCGAACAGTGGCGGATACTATCACTACAGCTATTCGGTGGTCCGAGGTGTTGACCGCATCGTACCGGTCGATATATATGTACCCGGCTGCCCACCAACGGCGGAGGCCCTGTTATATGGAGTGTTTCAGTTACAGAAGAAAATGAGGAAAACAAAGGTTACCAGGATGTGGTATCGGAAATAGTGCATGCCTGAACCTTCGCGCTTTGGCGGCAATGGCGGGGAAGGCATAGAACAGGAGACGCAACATTGAACCGGCTCCCTTCAGTCCACCAGTCCTATTCTACATCAAGTCACTGCAACGGAAACCGTCTGCCGCCATCGCCTAATGAGCGAGTACGTCTCTGCAAGATGCATGCCTCAATTGGCACGGGGATGCGGCGGTTAAATCCTGACAGTTATTACAATTTCATTGAGCCCCTAACCTGAATTAAATGATCTGTACAGGACCCCCAGATTGACCCTATATGATCTATGCATGGTACAAATCACAAGGACCAGAAGCATATGTCTGATTTCAATGCCACTCTGCAGCAAGGTTCAACACCAGTTTGTGCATATTTTGCGCTCTTCAGAATTGCTGTGTGGCTACTGTGTTGACTAGAAGTGTAAAAAAAACGCCCAGAAAGAGTCCTATAGCCCAGAACAAGCCATGGTGAATTCCCTAACCAAAGCAGAGCCCACTGAACCAAGTAAGTCCCCCAACCCAAGTAAGTCCCCAACCCAAGTGGATCCCTTAACCCAAGCAAGGGTTCAGCAAGCAAAAAGGAGACTATGGTGGAGAAAAAGGTAGTGAAATGAAAGGGAAGAGTGGGCAATGGGCTGTTACGATCAAAGGGCAACCCGCAACAACACTGAACAAACAGGACTACGTACGATACAAGAGGAGCCAAGGAACTGTAGTATTAATTGACCCGAGCAGTGGGCCGCGTCGGCGATACTCAGTATGATCATCACTCTCAGTTGAGCAACTCAAGCGACCCAAGCAGTGAGGTCACATCGGCGATACTTGGCACAAGCAATCAGTATACTTGGCACAAGCAGTATACTTGGCACAAGCAGTATACTTGGCACAAGCAGTATGCTTGGTACAATCAGTATACTCAGTACCGAGCAATCTGAGCAATCCTCTGCTAAATTATATAGCAAGTAGACACGCTGCCCTTATGGCATCATGTTCAACCTCGTCAATCAACTTTGTTGTTGGAATCTCACTCGCTCTCGAGCCAGACAGTATACTCTGTACTACTCATTGCCCCCAGTTGTCACGGCCTCCAGCTAGACGGCTATTACCTTGACTATTATGAAGGCTAATACCACCTTGCCCAGATAGTCTACCCCTGACCACCTGAGCCTTGCTTAGGTGACTGTCAAACCCCTACAGACTCCCTGTACCTCCGCTCATCCCCAAGAACCAATTGAATAGTGTCTACAAGCTTTGCCTAAGGCACAAACCACAACAGTATTGTTGCGTAGTCCTGTTCGTTCAGTGTTGTTGTGCGAGTTGCTCCTTGATCGTAACACTGTCTCTGCTGTTGCATGTGGCCTCTTGGACGCTGAGTGCCAGTGCAACAGCAAGTGTGACAACGCAGGTAGGTAGAAAAGGGCTCCGAAGTAAGTGTGAGTCCGTTACGAGGCATATGGGAGTGCTGAGATGTTGAGAACACTAGGATGTTATTCCTACACCTATAGGTCTTGTACAAAAGGATACAGAAAAACTACTCTATTTAAACTACAGTATTGGAGTCATTAAGTATCCCTTTTGGAGGGGAATCAGAAGTACCCTTGTCTAGGTGACAAGGAGGTAGTTTGCAATAGACGAGGAGCGGTGTGCTGAGATCTGCAGGAACCACATTGGTATTGGGGCGGATACGGTCGTAGGTGTTACAGCAAGGCCCTTACTTACAGCACAGTAGCATGCATTCTTGCCAGCTATACCATGGCTGACTCTCTAGGCACTGCAAAGGTTCAGGCAGAACTATGCAGCCTGCCTCGTGAATCGAAGACTAGCATGTATTGAAAGTAAAGTTGGGTGTATGTGTTATTGTGGTTATCAGACGTCAAGGGACGCAGCTAAGTAGGTAAACAGACTAGCCCAATTGGGTAATAGGCACCCGTGGAAACCACCTTCCAACAGCATGCTATTCGCGTCCTTGACAACAGTGTACGCAACCGATTGTCTATGTGCTGCTCTACGATTTGCTGCGAGGATGCTCACAAAGCGCGTAAGAGCAGATGATTGGTGTATTCTTGCATGTTTGTTTCTCGCGACTGCCACATACCTCTGCCTACAAGAGTGAGTCATCGTACTATTTTGAAGATTGAAGCTGACTTGAAGATAGTGACACAAGACAACTTTGGCAAACATTTGTGGGATCTCGAGCCTGGAAAATTGTAGTCCGCAATAAACTCTGTAAGCTCTTCTACCCGGCCCGCATTATAGCTCCATTTGATTCCTACCAGTCTACGTTTGTTGGAACCTCTACGTCATCACAATCGGTCCTGTAAAGGTGTCTTTGATAGCCTCCTATCTGCAAGTCTTCAGCAATTGTCGGTTTCGCATCGTCTGCTGGGTCGTGCTTGGCTACATTGTTCTCCCTACTTTCATCATACAGTTCTGAAGAATCTTTGCATGCACTCCACACAATTGTTTTGGGATCGCGACGTCAAGGGCAAGTGTCTCAACGTAGGCTCTATCAGATTTGCAAACAGTGCAAATGCCGTCTTACAGTGCTGAATCTTTTTGATCATGCCCGTGCCCAGTCTCTTCAAGTTGCAGATAAAGAGGTAGCGCAAGATCGCCGTGGCGTTCATGTTTGCGGTCGGAGCTTTGTAAGTTACCCTATCCCACTTTCTCCCACTACATGGCATGAGAAATAGCAGACGAGTCTTCAGTGGCCATATCTCAACCATTATTCAGCTCCAATCGCTTGCAGGCTTCAAGATCTCCCTCGACCCAACCTGGGACTATACAGACGTAGCCATCTGCACAGGTGCTGAACTAGCAACCGGTATCGTGTGCGCATCCTTCTCAGCTGTGCGACAACTCTTGACGATGGTTCTGCCCTCCCGATAACATACGTTCCTCACGAGTCAATAACGAAGCCGAAGCACATCTGGCCGAGCTCAGGGTTAGATCCCGAGCGTCAACCGACTACGATAAGGACATTCCTTGTTCCTCATGCCCTCGTTCTCCGATCCTAAGAAGAGCACGTATAGAGTTACCACGGACATAACGACATCAAGCCAGATGAAGTCGCAAGCAGAGACTGTACAAGACATTGAACGCAGCCGTGTGTCTACAGAAGAGCGGCAGAAGGCCTCAAGGAACCCTCTCCGACCACTCTTCCTCAGTAAGGGCCAATTTTTCCAGACATCGTTCTGGTCATCGCTTGATCGAGCTGGTATTCCAACTTTGCAGTCTCGACGGACACATTCACCGCATATCAGGGGCTTCCAGGCCATGTCTTCCCGGGCCGAAGTCGCAGAAACTGTAGGAAAAGCGAATGTAGATGAGCAAGTCGAATTGCTACAGGTACTAGGCAACGCGTATCAGCAGAACAGACATCACTGCAGTAGTCACGACGACATCACTGCGCTTCCAAGAATTGTCATAACTCCAGAAGATGGGTATCCAAGTTACACTCCACCGTGGAACAACAGAGTATACATGATATAATGCAATCTAATGAAGAACTTACAATCATAGCTATACTCATTGAGACGTTGCTTCCGTAGGAGATCAATGCTGATGTAGGAAGCGACAACGGCTGGGATTGTCCTTTTAGTCTCTGCCTTCTGCTTTACCTATGTCAATGCCATACCGTCTTGCTTTACCTTTGCCCCACCAGCCGAAACTGTAAAAGCCACCTTGCAGTATTTCGTGCTTGCGCAAGGCTTTGGCATTCATGAACTCAGATCCATCAGGAATGTTTTCCTTTGAAAGTAAACTTGACTTTGCGAGATAAGCAGCTACTGCTGCAATACTGCAGGGGTTCTGCGGAAGGATCTTCTTGCCTTTCGTGAATATCATCGAAACGATCGCACACAGCACCATGGCACCCAGCAGTCCTTGCAAGATGCGTGTTGAGATCTTGTCTTGTTGTATACGAGACTTCCCAGATGACACAATCGTTGCAGGGTGAACGCTCGGGGAGGTCTCTGCACTTGCGTCAAATCGCCGCTTCGTTCCGTATATCTGAGCAATAATGATGCCATAGACTTCGTCGACACGCTCCAGCAGTTTCTCAGTCATTTCCGGAATGTCCTTAACCACCTCAGACGCTCTTATACCGCCTCGACCACCGAATATAGCCCGGAAGAAGGGGTCCACTTGCATGTTGGGAATTAGGGGATCCAGAACGAGAGTGCGTTGTACTGGCAGATAGTTCGCCCAGAAACCAGTGTTGAGGAGCTCTGCTGCCGAAAAGAAGGTCCGAGTACCAATTTTTGGAGCTGGGGCGGTTGAGGCTGGAATGTTGAAGTCTGGAAGGGTGAAGTTAACCTCAACAACTTCCTGATCCACGTGTGGTGTGCAGTGCAAAAACTTATAGTCTTCGATCTCAACAGAGCTGGTGTTGTCGGCCGATACCAAGAACTTCCCCTTTACAAGTAATATCGCCGACAATGGGCAATGAATAGGTATGATATACTCGCTGTGGTATGAAGATGCGTTTTTATTCTGAGAAAGGTCTGTCTTGGGCACATCATCTGTATAGTTCATGCGGAAGACATCCCAGGCTGAATACCAATTGGCGACGTAGAAGTCTTCTGTAAAGATGTCTTCTCTATAAGACATTGGCTTGCAGCCACCCACAGGTCGAACATCGACAGTCAAGCTACCTGGTGCTTGAGTAAAGGTTGCTGGGGGCCCTGTGGAGAAGGTGATGTGCTCCAATGGTACCACGGAACAGTTCGCGACGCCGAAGACCGCGGGAAGCTCCGCACGCATGCTGGCGTTGCCGCTTCCTGGAGATAAAGTCGGCTGATTATCACTTTGTCGCTCTACACGAGGCAGTGCGTACTTGCCATAAGTCCACTGCGGATATGACAGGTTGTTGAAAAGCACAAAAGCTGGCGTGGGAAGATAGTCTTCATTTGTGTTACGAGAAGCCAGGGCCAAGTCAGGATCGAAACGACTGGCCTGTCGGAAGTCGACTTGAGTGCGGGCTGTCGGTGTGCGAGCTACAAAGAGCCCACTCGTAGCGATGGGAAGGCCGGCTCCGAGAAATGTGGCAAGGATAGCAGCAGCCGTGCCAAACAGCCTCCACCTGAAACTTTGAAGCAATGCTGATAGAGTAATTCTGTGCACCAGATCGAGATGTATTGACTTTTGGGCCGCGCTAGGTGAGCGATGCATAGTTGCGTAAGGCTGCACTATTCGGTTTGTCGAGCTGATAAGCTCGAAGATAGACTTTAGGGCGAAGATACCGGCGACAGGTATATAGACCCAGGCATACTGTACGTATTGATTCTTTGGAACCTCAAGAACACCATCCAGGCGGACAGAACGCCGATAGAGATATTCAAGGACACCGATCAGAGTTAGGGGCAGCGCGACTACAGTGATCTGACAGGTCGTGGAGGTTGACCATGGCTTCCACCAGTCGATATTTATCTCGCATGGCTTTTCTTGGTTCTGGCAACACATATGAGTGTGATCTGCCTGATTCGCCCGTATCGCAAACTTCCTTCTGCCATTTACGTCTGTCGTTGATGTTTCGAAGTTGCCAATGTGCTTGCATTTTTGTATGGTGGCTTTTGCCGAATGCGCGACAGGTGCAAGCTCTTCAACGAAATTTGAGCTTTCGGATATAATTGTCGCTAGTCCTGCGATAGTAGTGGGATCCTTCGGTACTACCGCCTTTGACTGTACACAGAGTGCCAGGGACACTAAGACCATCGTTGCTAGCAATCCAACGACGATGCCGAATGCGAGACGCGGCATTGTCAACCGCTCTTGATTAGATTGCAAGAGGCCAACTGTTTCGCTATTGTCCATGGCAAAGAGGTAGTTCGCTGCCATTTGCGATGAAATAAACTCAAGAGTCTGACTGACGGCATTTGTTAGAAACACTGGATCTACCAGCGTTTCAATCGACGCTTGAGGATTTGTGTCGTTCAACAGTTGGAAGAAAGCAGTGAACAAGCTTCCATACTTGTACACACTCATGTCCGGACCCGTATATGGGTGATCTGTGTTCTTGCCGGTCATGTACATCGAATCAATATACAAGGCTTGAATGATGGCAGTTTGTAGTTGTCTCTCATGTGTGCCATTAGTGGGCGGTCTCGCTGTGTCGTCGGATAGCAGCTTGGAGGCGATCTGACCTTGACTAACTGTGAGCAACGCCTTGGACAATCTCGGTGTTATAGAGCAGAATACAGATGCCGCCGAGCTCTGTGACATCCTTGATGGCCGGGGGCTGAAGTATGATGGTATTTCGGGTTCGATGAGCTCAAGGGTGCTGTTTGTAAAATTTCGCTCTGCTGGACTCATGTTCAGATCTGCAACCAACATGCTGCCGGCAAACACAGCAAAGCGTGGCTCGTATCTCAAAGGGTTTCTTGCTCCCGTGCAGTTTGCTAGACCAAGATCCAAGAGATATGTGAGATTCTCAGTGTCGTTAGTGAACGATCGCGTGTACTCTAACTCGCAGCTTGACGTAGTCGCCCACATCTTCGCTCCAGCAGAGCCGCTAACTCCAGTAGTCTGGTCGTAGACTACTCCAAACGTCCAGTTCGCAACGCCTGCTTCGCAAGTCGTCTCGGGATAGAAGGCATCCACCTCGAAACTTAAGGTTGCCCCGGATGGAACTTCCGTAGTGTTTACCGACTGATAGGCGAAAGTTTTGGCTGTACCGTATGGTAAATCCAGTGCGTACTGACTGATGGCGTAAGCTGTCGCGAACCCGTTTCCGGATTGCGCGATGACACCCGATGCATTGAATGATGTCGTGAGAGGAACTCTGTAATTTGACCGAGTGATTGACATAGGCTCCACCCTGAACAGCCCGGTCGAGAAGACTATGATTACGTTGAGACACAGTGTTCCCAGAACTCCAAGAGACACATCCCAGTCACAATTACGAATACTGGAATAGAGAGAGGTGATCCGTATCTCAGTGATGTAGTCAAGCAATATGCTTTTCGATGCCCGGCAAGGTCCTCTAGCCATTGCTCGCCAGGGAGCTAGAAGCTTCAAGTTCGATTCAACGAGCGTCCAGCATCCAGCGACGAGGATGAAGACCGACGAAGGTACATATGTCCATAAGTAGCGGATTGCAGTATTTGGAGCTGCCAGACCATGATCTGAGTTGAACATACGATACATGATCCCGAGGACCACAGCAAGACCAGCAAACAACAATGCGAAAGAGATAAGAACGCGGTGGCGTAGACAGAATGGAACCCAGAGGGTCGAATGTGCTGGTGAGGAAGCCATCAAGACAGTGACGATGTTCAAAATCCGCTGAACAGAGGTTCGAGCTACGGCTAAGGTGTTCGTGTAAGCGGATCGAGGCGGCCTTCTCCATTGTGATATATAGGGGTACAACGCGGACAGAGCCGCATTTAGCGCCTACTGTGAGGGCAGGCTGAACAAGGAGGGGCTGTGTGCCTGATGCGACGCGCAGCTAGCTGCACAGAAGTTGCAATCAGACATGCTTGTCCAGTCACAGCCACACCTCGGCCCCGGCGACTCCATGGGGGCCAAGATAATTTCACGAGACGAATGGCAGTTGACCACAATCATACCTAGGGTCCTTCATGCTTCAGCCTTGTGCGTTTGCCTAGCGTATTGTTGGGGATTATGTGGTCAATGACAGGTGGCAGACGCGGAGAAAGCCTTGAGGTCGATAGTTTGGGACAAATTTTGTGGAAGAGGCAGCTGTTGCACATACCATAGGGTGCTTCACTGTCGTGGGGCGGCGCCTCGTCGCTCCTCCAGACCGCACCTCTCATTGTGGAAGTTCCTGCATCGCCCTCTGCAAGGACAACTCGACGTTAGGACTTCATAGCTGCACAGAGTATCGCGACGCAGCTCTTGCTCCTCAATTGCCGGCTAAAAGCTCTGTTGCGACAATTTCGCTTCCGCCTGCCGTCACTTTCGTCGTTCGAGGAATAACAAGGCTGAGGCACGAAGCAATGGTACGCCGAGTCCATTCGGCAGATCAATTTGCACGCCTTGGCTGCTGAGCGGCCTTTGGCGAGGACTTTACATGTAACGCTGGGAAGGAGGCCAGGCTTAGAAGAGCGACACAATTCGCGAGCACGCTACATGCCTCAGCATCTCTTTTTCACGACGTCCTGCACCTCATCGAGCGCACTTGTAGCCATTCCATGCCGGCAGAAATTGTTAGTGACATAATCCGCGTGTTCGTCTTCGATTCGCGGTACGGTGTGCTGTTGTGCAAGCCCTGCGCCGCTCGCGACTAGGAAAGTCGGCCACTGCACTTGCGGATTGTCTTCGTGAGGAACACGACCATCTGTGGAAGGGTTGAGATGATTGGGTTGATTAACTTGTGAGCTATGGTGGGGATCGATCGAGACTATACGAAGAAGCTGGTTCTTGAAGACGGAACGCACAGCCCCCTGCGGCAACTTCAGAACGCGTGCAGCACCTGTAGTAAACAACCCCATAGAACACCACCACATACCTATACAATGCCTACTTTTGAAGCCAAAAATGGTCGTCGTAAGCCCAGAAAGTACAATGGAGTGCACAAGAAACCACCCAAGACTGCACGCGTTGAGTTGACGCCGGTGCGTGCATTGCTGGTGATGCCTCCTTCGATCTCATCACTACTTTCTTCCCACAACACCACGCCAGCAAGTCAACTATAAGCCGTACAGTCGCCAAAGTAAAAGAAAGAGCGCTGGAATTAAGTACTTGCATCACCGACCCGCAGTGCTATGACTTTCCAAGCAACAGGGGCCATAAACCAAAGCTTAGTCAAGAGCAACAAGATCTCATCATCAAGATCACCACATCAACACAGAACACTCGGGAAAAAGAGAGCTGGCAAGCCATTGCAGATGGCGACTTTGAGAACCAAGGGCTGCCAAAAATCAGTGTAACACTTCATCAAAACGTCATGTACAATGCTGGTTATGCTCAACGGAGGCCTGGCTGGAAGCCGCATCTAACACCTGAGCAAGAGCAAGAACGCTACAAATGGGCTCTTGTGCACAACCCTGATAGATATGAGTATGGCGATGGCCTCGGTTTTGACTTTCGCAATGTTGTTTTTACTGATGAAACTCCAGCTCGAGTGGGTGAGCAGCGAGGCATGCAGAGGGTGTGGTGCAAAGACAATGAGCGCTATGATGAAGGTGTTAAGAAGGATCGCTCTGCAAAGTACACTGCCCTACAGTTCTATGGAGCTTTCAGATATGATCACAAAGGCCCTTGCGTCATTTATCACGAAGAAACAGACGCTCAGAAGCACAAGGCTGAGAAGAAGTTGCATGCTGAGAACAAGTGGAGGAAGGAGAACTGGAACTCCACACAGCTCACAGCTCGTGCGGCACTTCAGCAGCTTAATGAGAGCGACTACAATGGACGATTGCGCACTCGGAAGCTGCAGTATGTACCTTCTCAGCATGATTACAAACGGAATACTCGCGCGCGAGGTGGGGTGGATGGCTATTGACACCGCGAGGAGGCACTTAAAACAATCGTGCCTTGGATGCAAGAGCTCAAAAAGCAAGGAGTATGGTGCTATTTACTTGAAGACGGTGCGCCGGATCACATTGCAGCTATCCCTAATGACTATTTACGAGTAGAAGAGATTGATAAAATGTGGTGGCCGGGTCACAGTCCTGACGTTAATGCAGAGGAGCATGCTTGGCCTTGGATCAGGCGCAACATCACACACGATTTCAAGCCGTCAACAACAGAAAAAGAGTGCGAGATACACTGGCGAGCTGAGTGGGAGCGTCTGCCACAAGAAGTAATAAACAAGTGGGTTATGGGGGTTCCAAATGTGGTGAGGAGGATTATCCGTCATCATGGAAAGAACAACTTCCATGGGTGATGCACAGACCTCAGATCAACACCAAATTTGAGCTGGATATAGAGAAAAGCAAGCATCACGATAGCCTCAAATTTCAATAGATTTCAACTGCGTTGTGTGTAGCTAATCACTATTTTGTATGGCGTTACTATGGGCAGGTGTGAATGCGTGCATGGGCCGAGGTTGTTCCGTCTTTAAAAACTAGCTCCTTCGTATAGTAGAAGGAAATAGCAGTGAAAGGGTGGGGAAGCAACCCGAACTATCCGAATGAGCTGGGCAATCAGTGCAGCGGACCGCTGGCAAACACCATCTTGCACAGTGCGGCTTCGAACGGTGCCATGATATTGTACCTTGTCTGACGAATTACGAATATGCTCGAACAATTGCACGCGATCGGATGGGATGACATTCGCATGGTGTCCGGCTCATTTCTCAATCACGCACACCGCGGATAGACAAGCGGGCTTCGGCAAAACGTGCTTCCGAAGTGTTCCTAGCCCCGCACCGCCTGCAATGCAGCAGCGCTTAGCTGTGCTAGCCTTCTCAGCCTTGTGCAGCTGACAATGGATCGCAGCACCACACTCAGCCTGATAACGGCGTCGCTGCTACGTCAGTCTATAACGACGCAAAGCGCGATCGATCAGTCTGCTTCGTCTCCGTTGCAGACCTCGCATCATGGACGGCCTTTCGGGCGCAGCAAGCGTCATCGCGGTAATAGACATATCCGCCAAGATCGCATCGCTCTGCTACCAGTACTCCGTGGCTGTCAAGGACGCGAAGGATGATATTGAGCGTGTGCGGCGAAGGGTTAGCGACATGACCCACATCTTGGAGAAGATCAAGCAGCTCCTCGACAGCCAGGACAAGACGCGGCTCTCTACCACTCAGGACCTGTTTAGCTCGCTCGAACAATGTTTGAAAGAGCTGAAGAGCCTAGACGCAAAGTTGGATCCAGGAAAAACTCGCAAGACTATGAGCCGGTTCGGCTTCCGTGCGCTCAAATGGCCGCTCACGAGTAAGCAGGTGGACAAGATCGTTTTAGACTTGGAAAGATATGAGCAGACCTTTAGCTTGGCACTGCAGGTCGATCAGACGTAAGCTTCTGTACCAAGATCTGTCGTGCGCAGATCCAGCTTCTCACTGATTATACAGAGTCGTTGTGTTCAACATAGACCAGAAGCTGGATCTGGCCAAACTGCCTGTCGCGATAGGCGCCTCCTTTAATTCCCACAACGAAGAGCACAACGCACGATGCCTACCAGATACCCGCACCGAGCTGCTAGACGAGATCACAGCATGGGCGAACAACAAAGATGGCAAGTCCATATTCTGGCTGAGCGGCATGGCGGGCACGGGAAAGTCCACGATAGCGCGGACGGTCGCTCAGTCGTTCGCCAGTCGAGGGCAGCTTGGAGCAAGCTTCTTCTTCAAGAAGGGTGAGGGCGAGCGTGGTAACGCCTCACGGTTCTTTACCACCATCGCCACTGATCTAGTCGCCTGCGAGCCAGGCATGCTACCTGGCATCAGGAAGACGCTTAACGAGGACTCGACTATTTCACACAAGGCCCTGAAAGACCAGTTCAAGAAGCTGATCCTGCAACCACTCTTAGGAATAAAGCAGTCTTGTTCGCGGGCCTTCGCGCGTGTTATTGTGATCGACGCGCTGGACGAATGTGAGCGAGAAGCAGATATTCGGGCGATCCTCCAGCTGCTCGCTCAGACGAAAGACGCTCGCCCGGTGCCGCTGCGGATTTTGGTGACTAGCCGACCAGAGCTCCACATCCGCCTAGGCTTCAAGGAGATGTCGAACGGCACATACCAAGACCTCGTCCTCCACGAAGTACCAAGGTGCACGATTGAACACGACATCCGTCTGTTCCTAGAGCATGAGCTCGGTGTGATACGAAAAGAACGCAAGTTGGTCTCAGACTGGCCGGCGCCACAACAGATTATGGCCTTGGTTGAGCTAGCAGTGCCACTATTTATCTATGCTGCTACCGTATGTCGATATGTTGGCACAAAAGGAGGCGACCCTGAAGAGTACTTGGACAAGGTCTTGCAGTATCCAAAGGCGGCTTTTTCACAGCTCGACCGAACCTACCTTCCCGTCCTGGATCAATTGCTTGTCGAGCAGGAAGAAAGAGATAGAGAAGACTGGCTGCACTCCTTCCGTGGACTCGTAGGTAGCATAGTCATCTTAGCGAGCCCACTTCCTGTCAGCTCTCTTGCGCGCCTTCTTCAAGTTCCACAGAAGCAAGTCGAACGTCGGCTGGACGCCTTGCACTCCGTTCTTAGTGTTCCTAATAGGGAGGACATTCCTATTAGGCTACTGCACTTGTCTTTTCGGGAGTTCCTCGTCGACCCCCAGAAACAAGGAAAGAGCCTTTTCTGGGTGGACGAGAAAAGCACGCACAAGAAGCTCGTCTCTTGCTGCCTTGAGCTTATGTCTGGACCAAGCGGCCTACACCAAGACTTGTGCAGCCTTCCAGGACCCGGGACACTAAGGAGCGAGATTAATGAGGAGAGAATCACTAGCAGTTTATCCCCTGACCTACAGTATGCATGTAGTTACTGGGTCGATCATCTCAAGCAAAGTGGGCAAGGTATCGTTGGCGGAGACGCGACGCACCTCTTTCTGCAGAAGCACCTTCTTCATTGGCTCGAGGCCATGAGCCTTATAAGAGAATCGAGCAGATGCGTTGACTTGCTTGACAGCCTCCAGGCACTTGCCAGCGTAAGATCTCTACAGGACACCGTCCTACTACCCTGCTAACGTACAACGCAGCCATCGGGGAAGCTAGTTTTGGGCTTTCTTCACGACGCTAAGCGGTTCGTGCTGCGGTTTCAGTCTGTGCTCGCGGATGCGCCGTTGCAGATCTATTGCTCGGCGCTAGTGTTCGCACCAGAGAGGAGCGTGATACGACAAAGCTTTGTAGACCAAGTGCCAGAAAAGGCCAAGATGCTATCTATGAAAGAAGCAGACTGGGACGCGTGTCGCAGCACGCTCGAGGGCCATTCCTCGTGGATCAGCGCGGTGGCCTTCTCGCCAGACGGGCAGCTAGTCGCGTCGGCATCTGGTGACGGCACAGTACGGCTGTGGGAGGCAGCGACAGGGACGTGTCGCAGCACGCTCGAGGGCCATTC